TTTTTTTGAATTTATTGTAGAGATGAGGTCTTGCTGCCCAGGCGGGTCTCGAACCCGTGGGCTCAGGCAATCCACTCACCTCAGCCTCCCAAAGGCGCGGGATTACAGGCTGAGCCACCGAGCCCGGCTTAAAAACTTTAAGAAAAATAAAACTGTGCTGATACAGAGAATGAATGAAGTCAGAGTGCTGCTTGCTTACGGAAGGTCTCTCTAGAAAGCAACTTTTGAAGCCGGCAGGGTGGCTTACTTTGGAAGGCCCAGGCAGTAGGATTGCCTGAGCCCAGGAATTCAAAACCAGCCTGGGCAACATAATAAGACTTCATCTCTGCAAAAAAGTAAAAGGATTAGCCAGGTGTGGTGGCACACATCTGTAGTCCCAGCTACTCGACAGGTTGAGGCGGAAAGGATCGCTCCAGGATGTCAAGGCTGTAGTGAGCTGTGATCATGCCACTGCACTCCAGCATGGGTGACAAAATGAGACTGACTCAAAAAAAAAAAAGAAAGATACTTTTCAGCCAAGGTCTAAATGACAAGGGTTATTCAAGGAACAGGGCATTCTAGCCCTAGAGACAAGACTCTACAAGGCCCCAAAGTGGAAATGTGCTTTCAAGCATTCAGTGTATGGAGAAGTCAGGTCATGTCAGGACCAGAGGGTGAGGATCAGAATTTGGACTTTCTTCTAAGTGTGATGAAATACCACTGGAGAATTTTAGGCATGATCTGATTTCCTTATCTGTAAAACGAGAATAGTCATAAGTACCTGGCAGAATTTTCTGCCCAACTCAAAAAATGAAAACCGTTAATTCAGTGAGTTGTTTTTTTTTTTGAGTTGGGGTTTTACTCTGTCACCCAGGTTGGAGTGCAATCACCCAGGCTGGAGTGCAGTTGCATGATCATGGCTCACTACAGCCTCAGCTTCCTGGGTTCAGATGATCCTTCCACCTCAGCCTCCCAAGTAGCTGAGACTACAGGCACACACCACCATGCCTGGCTAATTTTTTTTATTTTTTGTGGTGATGAGGTCTCATTATGTTGCCTAGGCTGGTCTTGAATTCCTGGGTTCAAGCAATCCTCTCCTCTTGGTCTCCAAAAGTGCTGGGTTTACAGATGTGAGCCACCATGCTCAGCCAAAATGAGTCTTTTTTTTTTTATTTGGAATCTCACTTCATCACCCAGGCTGGAGTGTACTAGCACGCTCAAGGCGACCGCAGCCTCGACATGCTGGGTTCCAGCAAGTCTTTCGCCTCAGCCTTCCAAGTAGCTGGAACTACAGGCACGCCCTACCATGTCCAGCTAATTTTTTTTTTTTGAGTTGGAGTCTCACTCTGTCACCCAGACTGGAGTACAGTGGCGCGCTCCCGGCCACCGCAGCCTCGACCTGCTGGGCTCCAGTGATCCTTTCGCCTCAGCCTTCCAAGTAGCTGGAACGACAGGCGCGTGCTACCATGTCTGGCTGATTTTTGATTTATTGTAGAGATGAGGTCTCGCCAAGTTGCCCAGGCGTCACTCGAACCTGCGGGCTCAGGCAATCCACTCACTTCAGTCTCCCAAAGCGCAGATTACAGGCTGAGCCACCGAGCCCGGTCAAAAATTTTTTTAAAATTTATTGTAGAGATGAGGTCTCACCATGTTGTTCAGGCTGGTCTCGAACCTGAGGGCTCAGGCAATCCTCTCACCGTGGTCCCCCAAAGTGCTGGAATTATAGGCTTGAGCCACTGCGCCTGGCCACAACCTTTATGGAACATCTACTAAGCACCCATCTACAGAAGGCTAAGGCGTATTCCTATCTTCAAGTCCACCTGGAGAGTCAAGATTTCTATAAGTACACAACTCTAAAACGTCTCATTTTCTGTGGCACGTTCACAGCTACCGCAGTCTTGACCTGCTGGGCTCAGGTGATCCTTCCTCCTCAGTCTTCCAAATAGCTGGAACCACAGGCATGCACCACCATGGCAGACTAATTTTTATTTATTGTAGAGACAAACTCTTGCCAAGTTGCTCAGGCTGGTCTTGAACCCCTGGGGTCAGCAATTCTCTCGCCTCCATCATCCAAAGTGCTGGGATTATCCAGGCTCGGTGGCTCAGCCTGTAATCCTGCGCCTTTGGGAGGCTGAGGTGAGTGGATTGCCTGAGCCCGCGGGTTCGAGACCCGCCTGGGCAGCGAGACCTCATCTCTACAATAAATCAAAACATCAGCCGGGCGTGGTTGCGCATGCCTGTAGTTCCAGCTACTTGGAAGGCTGAGGCAGAAGGGTTGTCGGAGCCCAGCAGGTTGAGGCTGCGGTGGGCAGGAACGGCCACTGCACTCCAGTCTGGGTGACAGAGTGAGACTCCAACTCAAAAAAAAAAAAAAAAAAAGTGCTGGGCTTACAGGTGTGAACCACAGCGCCTGGCTGAGTATTGTAATTTATTTATTTTATTATTATTTTTTGAGTTGGAGTCTCACTCTGTCGCCCAGGCTGGAGTGCGGTGGCACACTCATAGCCACCCCAGTGTCAACCTGCTGGGCTCCGACAACCCTTCCGCCTCAACCTTCCAAGTAGTTGGAACTATAGGCGCGCGCTACCACACCCGACTATTTTTATTTATTGTAAAGAAGAGGTCTCGCCAAGTTGCCCAGGCTGGTCTTGAGCCTGCAGGCTCAGGCAATCCACTTGCCTTGGCCATCGAGCCCGGCCTGTCATTTATTTATTATTATTATTTTAGATTACAAAATATACTTTATTTAAAAGTAAATTAGAGGGAGAAAGAGAAGATTCACCTCCCTAAGGTGGGGGAAGGGGCCAAAGCCAGGAAGCATGGCGACAGTCATGACTCAAAGATCACATGGCCACATCATGGTTTAGCTAGGCAATGGCCAGGTACTGTAATTTTAAAAATTCACTTTTAAACCACTATTAGGAAGTGTAAAAACTACTAATAATTTCTATGGCCTCAACTTGGACGGTTAGAATTTTCTAATACACAGCAAAAGAATCTAATTAGCTCCATGGTTATCCTGCATGCCTTAGAATGGATCTTTTTTCTTTTTTTTTTTTAGTTGGATTCTCACTGTGTCGCCCAGACTGGAGTGCAGTGGCCGCTCCCGGCCACCACAAGCCTCGACCTGCTGGGCTCCGGCAATCCTTCCGTCTCAGCCTTCCGAGGAGCCGGAATTACAGGCATGTGCTACCACGCCTGGCTGATTTTTTGATTTATTGTAGAGATGAGGTCCCGCGGCCCAGGTGGGTCTCGAACCCGCGGGCTCAGGCAATCCACTCACCTCAGCCTCCCAAAGGCGCGGGATTACAGGCTGAGCCACCGAGCCCGGCTGGATCTTTTTTCTTAGCAGGTTAATCCTAGTGATATGAACTAAGGCATCAAGCTCTTCACCCAGGGCTACCTGAAGATGGAAGTTACTAGCTATCCAAATTATCTGATATGGAAGAAAGAGGAAAATGAGGAAAAGCTATACAATCCATCAAATTTAAGTGATCTATACCACAAGCTAAAGCAATTGTTTCCCAAATAGTAAATTATCTTTAAAGAAACAATGCCCCGGCCAGGTGTGGTGGCTCACGCCTATAATCCCAGCACTTTGGGAGCCCACAGGTTTGAGAACAGCCCAGGCAACTTGGTGAGACATCATCTCTACAATAAAAATCAAAAAATTAGCTGGGCATGGTAGAGCGCTCCTGTAGTTCTGGCTATTTGGAAGGCTGAGGCAGAAGGATCGCCTGAGACCAGCAGGTCAAGGCTTCGGTGGCTGTGAGCATGCCACTGCACTCCAGCCTGGGCTACAGAGTGAGATTCCAACATACATTCATACATCCATCCATACATACATAAAATAAAAATATATCAGCCGGGCATGGTGGCACATGCCAATGGTTTCAGCTACTTGGAAGGCTGAGGCGGAAGGATCGCCTGAGCCCAGCAGGTCGAGACTGTGGTGGCAGTGAGCGTGCCACTTCACTCCAGTGTGAGCGACAGAGACTCCAACTCAAGCAAAAAATAAAACTCTCCAGGTGGTCTAAGAAGGTCGATTGTCCAGCAACTCAAATAGAGCCCTATAGGTTGTTAATACATTTCAATTCGCGGCAGAATAACTGGAAGGCTGTAGAATGAACATCAGTGCTTTTTCCAATGTTCAGAGAGTTTCTTTAACAATGTACAGTATTCCACAATTAGATTTTCATGTTCCTGCCTTGATGCTCTCTACCCACCCTTCGGCCCTGTTCTTACCAGCTAGATTGTTGTAGCAGTCTGTCTGGGTGGTGTGCAGTATGTTTTCTTGTTCAGGTGTAAGAGCCGGGCCCTCGGGCCCTAGATTAGGTATTGGGGAAGGCAGACTTGGAGCCAGACCCCGCAGCTGAAGCAGAGCTCGATGGTACCTACTCACAGCATCTCGGTACTTCCCTTCCCGGTAGCGCTGGTTCCCTTCCTCCTTGTACAGCTGAGCTTCCTGCAGGCGCTTCTCCATAACTCTTTGTCGCCCAGTGCTCTCGCGCAATTAGGAAAGCGCAGCTAACTAAAGCTCTGGGGTCGGGAGCAGTGACTGATTTTGGTAGCCAATTTAAGAAGGCAGGAAATTATCCTTGTCCCAGAAGCCCCCAACTCCTGGGGCGTGACCTTTGCTTATTTCTACTACAGCCCCACCTCCCTGCAATAATTTTCAATCTCCAGAAATGCAGGAAATTTGTTAGAAAGAGGACTGTGAAATAGTGAAGCCAAAGGATAAGTGATTTCTTAAAGAGGCGATTTCAGAGAGAAGAAACTGCCCCTAAAAGCAAAGGGCTGACCAAGGGATCGTGGCAGGCGTGTTAACGCCCGCAGAGTTAGCTTCCTCCTTTCTTTTGGACACGCCCTCTGACCTGGAAGAAAAAATAAGAAGGCGGGGACTACTGCTAAAAGAGGTCAAAAGGGCTCGCCTCCATCCCAGCTCTTTTATTTGTCCTTCTTCAGCAAGCGTTTGTGGTTGTCAGTGCTGTGAGCTGGGAAGCCGAAGTGAACGTGGCCCGTGCACCCACACCCACAGGCGAGACTGAAATGGCCGCATAAGCATCTCAGTTGCAAGCCCACTAGGCGCCGCAGCCGGTTCCTCGCCCCGTGCAGACGCCCAACCCCGGAAGTCCCCAAGTAGGCTTCAACAGGGTGGAGGACGGATAAGAAAGGGTCAGGTGTCCCGACAGTTTGGTATCTAAAGGGTAGCGCGCATTGCGCCACATTACCCAATCAGAAACAGCTCCGGAAAAATAATCCCGCAGAAGCGACCCCGCCTACCCAGAGCACCAACCCGGAAAAAAAAAAAAAAAAAAAAAAAAAAATCCCCTGGCAACTTCGCCAATTGGAAAAATCCAGAGGATCACAGGTGACCAATCAGAACGGCAGATGACGATTCAAGTTGGCCAATAAGGGAAACGAAAGGCGAAGTCAGGGTGTCTGTTGCTGGGTAGAAGTTGAAGCTTTGAGGGAAAAGGAGAGCCGGGGTTACTGTATTTCTTCGTTCTGGAGTTTTTGCTTATTAGCCAGAGAAACAATTGCTAGTAGGCTTTCGTGTGGCAACAGCTTCCGTTCTGGCTTTTCTTTTGTTGCCCCCAAGAAGCTGCTGTATGCACAGGCAGCAGGTAAAAAAGGTTCCCAGACAAACCCTAAAACATCGCAGCAATTGGAAGTCAGACATGAGTAGGGGTACTGACAGGGTGGGAGGGACGTAGGGTAAGAGAGTTCCGGGCAACTGCGCAGAACCCCCAGCTGGAAGTACTGAAAGACCGGCACGCACACGCTTCCGTGCTACGAGGCACTTGAGCCGCAGCCAGCCTTGCCCGTCCCGGCCCCCGCTGCGGCTGCGCGGTAAAACCAGCAGCGACGATTGGCCCAGGGGGGCAAAAGGGGTGGGAGAAAGAGGGAGGGAACTCTGTCGTCCTCCGCGCGCGGCCGCCCGCGGCTGGGAAACCAAGGTTCTGGAAGGGGAGTCGCTCCCCGCTGCGTTGTCTTGGGCTCCGTGAGCCGAAAGGCGGAAGGGAAGAGGAGGGGAAGCACACACTACGTCGCGGGGACCGCGCTTAGCCTTCGCTGCCTGCGTGCGTGCGTGCGCTCGCCCGCGCGGGCTCAGTGCTGGCGCGTGAGGCGGAGGCGGGCGGCGGCGGCGGCGCCTGCGCGGTTGGGCTCGGTCGACGGTTCGCAGGGGAGGAGGCGGCGGGAGGCGGAGGAGGCGGCGGCGGCGATGGAGGTGAAGCGGCTGAAAGTGACCGAGCTGCGGTCGGAACTGCAGCGGCGGGGCCTGGACTCGCGCGGCCTCAAGATGGATCTGGCGCAGCGGCTACAGGA